CCCCCCCGCCTCCCCACTCTCTCTCCCGTGAACAAAGCTCATGGAATATCAAATGCTGAAACGCAAAAAATGCCATGGTAGCTCCGCCATCACTGTTGATGAAACAGGATGTTGGAGGCAACTATAGCATACTCCAAAGGCTTTACTCCCCCCCCAAAAAAAATCTCTGTCAGGGTCCAGCCATGATAATCCAGCGCTCCCTTGGCCCAGAAACACTGCGTCTGGTCAATGCATCATCCAAGCGTTTGCCTCCTTCACTTGCTGGTTACCCTCCACTTTGTCGTTACCCGCTGGTATACTCATACTGAGGCTGACCTTGGAATCACCTCCCCCGCTGCCGCACTCTCCTTTGTCGTACCACCATTTGTTTTTCAATTTGTCCAAGAGCCCCTGCTCGTTCAGTTTTAACACTGCCAGGTTTACTGGGTTTCTTGAAATGATAAAATAATACTGGTCAGTACCGAGAGCGTCCAGCGCAACACAGTGCTATGAAAACAGACTGTTCAGATTTGCAACACTGGTGACTGGTTGGTAAGTTGAGGTCATTAGTAGAATGCAAAGGCGTGTTCTCATGAGGAAGTAGAGTAAGGTGGAAAATAATGCTTTTCCAAACCATGACAAAGAGTTTGCCAGGCAAGGCACGCAGTCGGCACGCTCGGAAGGAAGGGCAGATTTCGGTAAGGCTTCTGATTCAGTGATGCCCCCTGAAGCATTGTTTCCTTTCAGTTCCTGCATGAATGGGGAATAACTCATTGGGACATCTAGGGATTTTCCCGTTCAACACCCGTGAGTTCAGCATGGATCTGCGCAGGTGGTGAACATTAGACATTATAACGGCAGACTTCAACACGTCATGCTTCTGTTCCCCATGTTCCCAACGATTATTAAGCACTCATGCACGGTCGAAGTGGAAATCGTGCCGATATAAACCATTGGATCAAAAGCGTTATCGAATGATCGCCCCCTCCCTTTCCTGCTCTGCCCCTGCGGGACGCTTTCCGTGACAAAAGTCCTGAATTCTTTCTTATCTCAGAATACTTAGAAAGAAAGAAGTCGGAGAGAGGGCATGGACGATGAAGACCGAATCTGAATTCAGTTTTCGAAAAACGAATGGGAGTTTCTGAGGCGGCAGTGCTCTGGTGAGATGAGTTCTGCAAACCAACAGAAGTATGAATGCGATACGAAAACAAAAAAAAAAACATGTTAAAAATGGCTAGCAAAGAAAGAAATACCCACTCTTGCCAAAACAATCGTAATTACCCTTTTAAAATATCTTATCTTCATACAGTAAACATTAAATAGTTTTTCAATCTTTTGCAACTAAAAGTCAAAATCCCCCAAAAATCCTATATATTATGTACTTAATATATCGAGGGCTGTGTATGTGTGTGAATTGTATGCACAAGGAATTCTCAAAGACTGTCTAGTAAGATGTCAGTTTTTCAGAAGTAACTCTGATAGTGTGAGCAGGAGCATCATCTTGGATCTTAACAACACATATAGTATTAATAGATTTCTATCTAGAATACTGCAACGCTTGAAAAATATATCTAATTGGAAAAAAACACAGGAGACCCCTTTCCTCTTAAGCCTAACAATTATATAATGCACCTTGTATCATTCTTCTTCTTAAAATACATGAAACATCTTAGACCCAAATTTTGAGTTGTTCTCATTTGAGTCCTAAGATAAAATAGAATTAACAATACATTAACACTCGTTAGCCATTTTCCTGAATGGCTACTCAAGACATTCAAATGTCATTCACATAAAAAATACAGCTCTTTCAATGATTATTCGGCTGTGGTATGAGCATAGTATTAAACTCAACGAGAATGCTGTCCACAGTAGTCTGTTTGAGTTCAGTCATATATGGCTACAAAAAGAAACAGCCTCTTCTCCTAATAGAGGTTTTTTTTATATGACTCGTATATTAACATATCTTTTTCATTTGTGGTTCCCAAGGCAACTTTTGTTCATTATTAAAGATGGGCAAATTAAATCAGTCAATTATCAGGTGATTAAGAATTCACCCTTATTTGAAGGACTTCAATGATCATAAAATATGATAGTGCTGTATTTGCAAGATGGGTAACTAAAAAGTATAGAGACATGACTCCTTAGTCATGTGAAAAACATGATGTGATACAACATTTCTAACAATTCCTTCAAACAACAGTTATATCATTCAATTAGTCAAAATCCACTTTTACTTTGGCAGTGGTTTTTCAGTCCTGCCAATGTAAATGGATACACCCCTGGCATTCAGCTACAGAAATAAAACCCACAAGACAACCTTCAAAGCTTTTTTTCCTGTGCAAGACTTTCAGGATGTTTTGACATACTGTAAAAGCTAACCACATTATGCTTAAATAAGACCGACTGACAGATAGATAGCAAAAGCCATTTTGTTCTCCTTTTTTCTATTCTTTTTTCTATTAAATTTGCATGTTTAAACTATTACAGTTCACTCTACGAAAAAACTGTCTTTGCACTGTGACCCTCACCAGGGGCAAGCGTTAGGAAAAAGGATGGAAGGAAGGATTTTGCCCTGTGCATACAGTAAAAAGCTTTGAATATCACCTTGGAGGTGCAACTTAGGTTCTTATTTCTGTAGAAGAAAAAACTGACTAAAGAAATATTACACTCTACCAAAAGCAGGTCACTCTGTGACAATATACACTGCAGTAGTGGGACAGAACACTGATACCTACCTTAAAGGGGATCCCTTCGGTGTTGCAATTCCATATCCTTTTGAATCCAGGTTTCCTCCCACCTTCATGGTGTCACAGGGTCTCCGCTGCTCGATGTACTCGTTCATGGTCGATTCTAACAGGTAGGCATATTTCCCTTTCGATTTCCGTACTCTGAAGACACCCTCATCAGTTGTCTTCACAAAAACCGACGGATCAGCTGATTTCATGTATGACCACATCTTTTCAAAAACGGCTATTTTGGATCTCTGATGGGGCAATCGAAAGGAAGGGGTGATTAAGCGGAAAGGGACTGAAAGAATGAGCGCCACATGGCAGAATTCACGGAACATCCCATATCCTGCTGCAGCTGCGATTTCTTTGCACACTTCTTTCGCATGAATAATACCAATTATTACTGGTTAAAACAGAATGAGTAGCCTTCGCCTCCTCATACAACCTCAAATTTAAACCCCTAATTTCACACAATTATCCATTTATATTACAGCTTCGTTATTAGGGGTGACGACTTAATTGAATTTTGCCTGTCATTTCTTTTTTACTGAAGCTACATTTCCTGAGGAGAAATTCCAAAAATGTTTCCTAGTACTTATCCTTTTTAATGATGAAAATGTTGTCATCTACAGTACACGAATAGTCATTGATAAATTACAGTGAGTCCTGTCTGTATTTTGCAGACAACTTTAAATCCCCTTTAAAACTCTTTAAAACCCTTCCAAACTAAGATGTAATACTGGATCATTCATTAGATCAAATTAACGTCCAGTGTTGTATGCAGATTTTCATGATGCAAGCATGCAATGAAAGCTGCTTTATTGCAACTTTATCCAGTTTTATACCATATTTTTTGCTATAATATGATTTGTCTGGGGACTTTCTTTCATTATTACATCTTACTACATACTGTATGCATAGACTCATTAGCCAGAATAATTACCTTTTTTACTCTTACAGTTAGAATTCCCTGAAAAAGGACTAGAAACTACTTTGATCCATGTTAGAGAAACAGATTATAGACAATATATATGCGAGAATGGTCTATTACGTTTTGTTGCACCAATTGCTAAGGGCAGAAAGCTACCCTGGTGTGTTACAAAAACATTAGCCGTGATTGTGCTCAGCTGTGAAATAATACATTAAATGTAAAACTCAGGCACTCCAGTATTCCAGGTCCACAAATTAGTGCAGGCTTCTTATTTGGTTGCAGAATTCCATGGCAACCACACTACTTGCTGCAGAAGCCCACACAAACACAAATCGCATTTTCCTTTCTTCCACGCAGGCTTGCACCTTGGCACCTGTGAACTGCTTGTGTAAGATCTTCAGGCATGAATGTTTCAGAACTACCTACAGATGAATAATGCAGCAAAAGACCAAAGCAAAGTAGTTCAGTGTCATTACCAAAGTCTACAGTAAACAGTGTTGAAGTTCAGGAAATGTTGTCCTGTAACTGCAACTAAAGATGAGAAAAATAATGATTTTGAATTTCCATTTAAAGGTTTGCACAATTGCTGGCTGAAACATGTCCACACAGTCTCATTTGTTGTCAGAGACTGACAGAAAAATTTGTAGAGGAAAAAAAAAACATGGTAGACCACTCAAAAGGTACATAGTGCAGATGTGTACTTAGGCACTGCAGTGAGCTGTTGAGGATGCACACCGCAGTGCTACAGTTCCAGCTTCCAGTCACCAGAGGGCCCCTTCACGCTCTCTGCGTTTTCCACCCACTCTGGGGAGGCGTGGGTTAAACAGATCTTGTTAAGCCATAACCACGCCTCCCCTCCTCTCTATTTAAACTCACCTGTCTGCTTCTTCCTTTCCTTAGTATTGGGTTGAACCTCACATGAGACACTTCAGAGCTGTTTGCCATCCTCCTGGATTTTCTAGACGTCTGGTTTGTTTACTCGACTTTGGTTTTTGGATCTTGTTCTCTGATTGGCCTTTTGGATTGACTTCTCTTTTGGCTACAGATCTCTGCTTCCTGGTTTTTGGCTTCTTGTTTTCTAGTCTCCCGCATAGGGTCCATCTTTTGTCTTTCGCTTATACAAAGCGTAATACACAGTGAGATAGAAGCTGTTCTTGTATTATAGGAAATGAAGTGCCTGCCCCTGTGCATTGTGCATTATTAATTCATTATTTTATTAAATATTGGTGTTTAGAGCTAGAATAGGAACCATTTTTAATAAAGGAATTATATTTCTTTCTTTAATACACTTCTGTGTGAATACTATTTAGCCTTATGTTTCTTTTCACTACACACACAATGAAAAAGTTTCAGAATTTCTTGCAGAATCATTAAAAAGCTGCCACAAAACTCAAGCTGTTCCTTTCATTGATACAGTATATTGCAAACTGTCTTGGAATCAGGGACGGACATAAAAGGCATTACCTGTCCTAATTTTGCTGAAAAGCAAGCTCCTTGAAAACTGCACAATCCTGTCACAGGAAGGACATGTTACAACGCTGTTGCAAACTTCTCCTTAAGAAGGCAGTAGCTTGAGTAAAGGTTCCTGAAGACCTTACCCGGAAGAACTCCTTTGTTGATCCAGCGTCCAGAGTTCCATAAGCGATCTCCGTCTGCTTGGCCAGATCTTCCGCACTCTCAATGGGGGAGACCATCCTCTCCACAGTCAGAAAGGCAGCCAGGTTCGCGGTGTAGGACGAGATTATGATCAAGGTGAAGAACCACCACACACCTCCAACAATGCGGCCCGAGAGAGATCTGAACACAGAACGTAGAAGTTAAACAAGATCTGATGAAGTATGGAAGTACTACGTACAGTATGGTGAAAATCTTTCGCATTCCTTTGCCATGTGCAACAGCAATGCTGGACATATACGTGTTTGGCAATTTATGTTGGTGCCATAAGTTTAATTTGTTTCCAGTTTCTACCAATCTATGAAAAATATTTTCAATGCCCATGTAAAAATTAATTATTATTTTCTATTTAGATTTTACTACCTAACCCTCTATGGATGGATGTTTGGCCGTTATGGCTTCTGGCATGTAGGGGCAGGAACATCCTCTTGCTGTTACCGTAACATTGTTTATTTACAGGAGAGGGTTGTTAGCCTTGTGCCCAACCTCCAACATGGAGGACCTGGCGGGTCAACGTTTGACACAAACCCACTTCCCTGGGATTATGAGTCTCAGGCTCTACCAACAGAGCTGGTCGGGACCCTCTATAACCATATGTAAAAAAACAATCACAAGACTGAATACCTTAACCTTGTCAGCCATAAATAATACTTCAGCTGATGAAGCTTTTCTGGAAAGCCCACTTGAAAAATATCCCTTGCATTTTTCTTATGTTGGAGTTCTCTACAAAGTAAAACAAGCTTCAGATGACCTCCTCCCTACTTTTATTTGACTTTGGCTCATTCTTCTCTGCGATGAATGACACTGATTGATATGAATTGGTGAGAGAGGAGAAGCTCAGAACTTGCAAACCTTCAAAACCATTGAACAGCTAATGTTCAAGATTCTGGGCTAGACATTTACCGGCACATCACAACAAAAGCTTGGAAGAAATGAGGAAATTCTTGATGAGGAAATTTAGGAAAAATAGATGTCAGCCTCTTTCATTATTAAATAGAAAGAATTAAGTACCAATACAGTACAGTACATGACAATGTACTGTAACTAGAGAGAATAGGATTCTCTGTAAACAAGGAGTTTGCAAATTGGTGTTCAGATGAGTTAAATACTGTATTTCGAGGGTAGGTTCTATGAAAAAAATACAAATCTATCAAAAGAAATGGCAAGAAAAGGAGGTATTTTGTACATTGTGGAAAACCCTTTTTCTAAGGAAAATAATCAGACCATGGATGATTTGAACCATAAATTTAGTGAAGAATGTTTGTCCAGAACATTAGATGAGCCATCCAGTTAAGATGAGCTATCAACAGTATATAAGAGTAGTCCCTTAAACAAGAAGGACCAGATATATGAAAAATTGAAAAAAAAAACACAACTCAGAAGTGAAATGCATATCTGAAATTCACAAAAAATAGGTATATTATTTCCTTCCTAATAAAGTAAGTATATTGACCGACACCACAATAAAATTCCTGTGTAGTGTGTTTAGAGTCTCCCACATGTTAGAACTTGCTTCCGCTTAAAGGAAGTGGTAGGTGGGAAAAGTATAACTCTCTTTAAAATATATTATTACTTTTTAGGAACTTAAGGGAAAAAAACTAATCTCTTCATAAATTAGACATCAGAAATATTGTTTCAAAATTTCCGCACATTTAGTTTGAACAAAATCGAATGTTCTACAGTGAAAATGATCTATTTGACCATATACAATATAGCCAGGTTCCACCTGGATTGATTATTACTTTTTGTTTCCTTTTTAAAATTGTAATTAATTGCCACAGGTTCTGCTCCATGAGACACGTTCATGGATCTTCATTCCAAGAGTGTTACACATGGATTGCAGAGCAGGTGTGAAGTAATGAATCTGACATTTCAAATTGCTGAGGAAAAAAAATTGAGAAAATGAGCCACAGCAACTCGCACTTAAATACAAACCATTCTGCACCAGAACTATCCTAACATTTCCTTAACAAAGAAAATAATTGCTAACTAAGTTTGGGAATTTTTTATTTATTTTTTGGTAATGATATGATTGTATTTACAAATAAAAAGCAGTTTCATCACAACCAGACCTTTCTCTTTCTCTTGGTCAAGTAACTATTTTTTGCACATTATTTTTTAAAACGCAAGCCATACCCCAGCTGTGTGAATTAAGAACCAAGTCAGTAATAATGAGACAAAGGCTGTAATAATTTTAATAAGGGACTCTCTATACCATTTACAATTTGGGGCTTCCTTCAAGCTGTTAACTTGTCTCGAAGGGGATAATTATGCTTGGCATTTTGAACGTTTAGTAATATAACAAAAATATACAATTTATTTTTAAATGTATATTCTTAATTGCTAAAATCCACTGAATAAAAAGTTGAGTTACATCAATTCCCTTATGGTTGTAGTGAACAGAACAGCCCAGCATAACCTGGAGCAGTGAAAAACTACTACCCAAATTAATAGTAAGAGTGAAGAAAGACCCCTTCCCTCATAGACATTAGGTTTACAGTACCTCATTCATATAAGTGCTCAGCTAACAATATACTGCATATATTCAATTATATTCAGGTGGGTGAGTACTCTTCTAACATACAAGCCATTTCTGTATAATTTAAACAAGATATTATTTTTATTAACATTTAAACATGTCTTCCTGTCACTAAACAGTATAATTTGTGGTTCTGTAGAGCCACATTTTATACAGTATCTTCATTTATAATTTGATTGTAAACCAGTAACAAACTCACAGATTTTTATGTCTTCAGTTACAGATATATTTACAAAATATCAACACATTCTAAATAGTCAAAAGAATGCAAAACAAAGCAATGTAAAGCATTTCTTTAGATTGTTTTAAAAAAATTTGCATTGATTTCAGATTGTAATGGACCTCTTAGTAAAGCTCAATGATAAAAGCAGCAGATGCAAAAACTGAAGAAACGTAAGATTTCATATTTTCCCACAGAAAATAATGACAGCCTATAGTAAATATTTCAACCCCCGGATGAGTATACAGGCAAGAGTTTAATATATATTATTTCCTTTTGTAAATCCTTGTGTGGTGTGTACAAGGGCTGGAATGATGCCTTTGCCCCTGGATACAATTCTTCCAGCTTCTGCTTTGCAGTTTTTTTTTTCCTTTTTGGTATTTTAAGATGCTACACCAGTGTGATCACGGGGGATCCTGTGAAGCAAAACGCATTGTCTGCACAAAGCGTGTGTGTTCAGGAAGGGGAGAAATAAATAATTACATCTCCAAAAGAATCATAAGCAGAAAAGTCATACATTAAAGGCCTAGCTGTGCCGTTGCTATGACAATACATCACATCATTAAAATGGGTGTCAAGGTACATCTTCTCTTAATCAGAGCCTTTGAGCTTCTGTGTGTCAGATCTGATATGCTACAAACAAAGGAAGCTTTAGGAAGAATTGTCCTGTCCTCAGACGGCCTCCAGCCCATTGTGGTGTGCCTGCTGTATTATTCCTTCAAGAGATGGGAGCAGTGTGCAAAAAGCATTTTTCAGTACTTGAGAAAAGAGAAGCCTGTTAGTATAAAAGGGTGTTTACAACTTCCTTTTCTTACATTCTTTACCCTAAGAGTTATGGTTGGCTCATGTAGATACAGTATTTAACTGCTACTTTATTAGAGATATTGGCTAGCTAATATAGTGCAAATCACACTTTATGAATAATAAGAAAAACAGTTATTTACAATGAAACATCTATCAGTAAAGCATTTTTTAAAATAGAAAATAAGCGTACATTTGTTAATAACTGTGTTATTAATAAGTGGATGGTCAGTTATTACAAAGGTGTTAGCTCTGTGTTAATATATTGCAGGTTATAAAGGATTTTGCAATGGAATCTGTAGCCCTAAAATGAATATTTTATAGGATATGATATATCTTACAAGCACACATTTATGATTATAATTATCATATCTCAAGGTCTTGAAATTTACATGCTACCATTTCAAATGCAGAGGAAAGAAAAAAAAGATATTTGCTTCCCCACCCCAGAACCAAGCTCTATGAAAATGCAATGCCACTGTTTTGCACAAGTAAAAAAACAATTCTCCAGACTCCCTGGAAAAGAAGCAAGTATGAAATGACAGTAAAAGAATCAAGCCCCTTACCAAAACTTAAAAACAACAAAAGTTGTTTTCCTTAGTTGCAATAAATAAAATAGAATGTGAACTTTATTTACTTACTATTGCTTTTCTCTATCTCTCTCTCACGCAATACAATCGTTTTTTTTAATTTGCAGAGTTAGATCAAATCAAACTATTGCAACACACCATAAGAAACCAGGCACTAACCTAATGCATCACATGATACATCTCAGAAAAAATATATAGGTCTTACATTCTACACATGCCAGCAAAGATTTATTATTTATGTATTCCTATTTTTACAGTCAAAATAGTGATAAATCTGAAAATACTTCCTGAAAATCCAGGGTCAAGCCTGAATTGTGTGACTATGGCTATTACAGCTAAGAGTTGTCAATCATTGCATTAATTGTCAGTTGACTATGACTCTTCTCTTTATTAAGGAGCACTTTATAATTAGCAGATGATTGTGTTGAGTACTTAATTATTATTCAGATCAGTTTCAGCATAACAACTCAACTGACAACTTCAGTATTCTGACTAAAAGTTGATCAGTACATTGCAATACATTGAAATTCACCCAAACATTTTCAGAACCCTCTTTAAGCACAGCCAATCCTCTCTGAAGTGACAAGAGAAAAGAACATAGTTATTTAAATACAGTAGTCATTAATGGCCATGCAAGCATATTCATACATATAGTGCAAATAATTCCAGTAATTACTACATATTTCTCAAGTCTCTGAAGCTGGAGTGCATAGCTCCAGTGTCTGCAGCCCTTTGATGCCTCCTGAGATGTTATCTACTTATTCAACATAATCTTAACCAGATAAATGTCTTTCTTTAAGTTTATATGGACATATAAAGAGACCTTAACACTTGCAGGGAAAGGAGTTATGCCCTGTTCTAAGGATGATCTCATATGCCAATAAAAAAGCCCAGGCTCAGTCAGAAAATTTCCAACAAAGTGTACATGTCTTAAACTATGACAGTGGAAAAGTAGCAGGCAATTAATTACGTA